CTTTACTGAAAGAGTGGTCAGGCCTCGGAACAGGCTGCCCAGGGAAGTGGTGGAGTCCCCATCCTTGGAGGTATTTAAAAGACATGTAGATGAGGCGCTTAGGGACATGGTTTAGTGGGCATGGGGGTGTTGGGTTGACGGTTGGACTCCATGATCTTAGAGGTCTCTTCCAATCTTAATGATTCTATGATTCTATGATTCTATGCCAAAATGTTCAGTATTTAGCCTCAATAGTTCCTTGCTCAGGTTAAGGCTGGGAGTTAAGAAAAAAAAAACAAAAGCAAAATAAATCAACCAGAGCTGTGAATGATACCAAGTTACGTCCCCCAAGAAACCCTCGGTGCCGGCATTTGTTCTTGTTCCCTCACGAGAATCTTCCTTTTATATTACGAAGGATCACTCGGCGAAAAGGTCGCTGCGGTTGCCTGGTTCTGGAATGACCCACGACGCTTTAGTCAGGAGGACATTCCCATGAACCCCCCTTTCTGCTTTGCTTCACTTCAAGAGGAGCAGAGCACATGGCTGACATTGCCTCTCCTGCTCTGCCCTGATGGTACTCCCCTCCTTTCCGCAGGTCGATTTTGGCTTTGCAAAGAAAATAGGATTTGGAAAGAAAACATGGACTTTTTGTGGAACCCCGGAGTACGTAGCCCCCGAGATCATCCTGAACAAAGGTCACGACATTTCGGCAGACTACTGGTCACTGGGAATCTTAATGTATGAACTCCTGACTGGCAGGTATGGGCATCGGGGCCGGCGCCGCTGCTGAAAATAGATCCGAGTATTTCTGCCGTTGTCACCCTGATTAGGCGAGGGGAAGGTTCAGAGCTGGCATGTGGTGTCGCGGCACGGCGCTTACCTAATAATTAGTTTTTCCACTTTAAATCACAGCTCCCATGCAGACCTCTCAAAGGGCAAGACATGAGCAGGCCTTTTGGGAAGTGCGGCGAAATGACACCCAAAAACTCATTTCTGGCCCTGAACTATAACTGAGAGTGAGCTGAATGTGGTGGGGAAAGGGTTTGCAATTCAAGCGGGGAGGTGCAGCGAGGGGCTGCCACATGTCTGAAAAGGAGGAGGTAGACCTGACCCCGTGGGGACTTGCGTCCCTATATCCATCCTTTCCCTTATTTAGTTTTGGATGTATATATTACTGCTGACGTTGGCAGCAGCAGCTTCCTCGCACTTCCTCACCTCATCCCCCATCGCTCACTCCCAGGATACAGGAGCTGGAAAGGGATCCGTCACCTCAGGCTGCTTATCCTTTGGGGCTAGACCCAGGCCCCTATTCTGTTAAACCTGTGGAAACCTAATTAATCCCCACTGAAAGCATGTCGCAACATCAAACAGAGAACAGGCCAGCGAGCGTTGCTCGGACTGGGACCTGGGCCATCATGGAAGTGAGAGGTTTAGCACGTGCTGCTGCAGAAAACATGACTTTATTCTTCGGTACTTCACTCCAGGCAGCACCAGCGTCAGTGTCAGAGCTCCTTGGCTGGGAAATGGTTAAGATCAGAGGAAGCAAAGCATTGCTAGTTGTCATCTACCTTTTCTCATTTCAGTAGGGTACTGTGTTTTGCTTTGGTTTGGTGGTTTTTTTTTTAATCGATCTTCAATGCTATTTTAAAGAGAAGCTTTTAATCTTTTCCTTTTTCCTCTCCCCTCTGAAGTCCCCCTTTCTCAGGCCCAGACCCCATGAAGACCTATAACATCATATTAAGGGGAATAGACATGATTGAATTTCCAAAGAAGATTGCCAAAAATGCTGCTAATTTAATTAAAAAACTATGCAGGTAAGCGCATGAAATATAATCATGATCTTGACCTTATTTGCAAAGAAATGAATCGTTCAGAAGGATTAAGAAAGTAACCGATTTGTTACTCGTTTTATAGGGACAATCCATCGGAAAGATTAGGGAACTTGAAAAACGGAGTGAAAGATATCCAAAAGCACAAGTAAGTGTCTTCAGCACCATCCATCAGATCCAACCCACAGAAACACGCATTTCAAACACTTCCATTTTCAGCAAAAAATAACTCTTCTTAAACTCCTTTGGCCTTTCCTTTCTAGTGTGCTTTAGACTCGAATTGAATTTCCATCAGAGTTTTTTTCCCCAGGCTTTGGTCTAGATGCCAGCCCTGCCTATGGGCAAAACGCATTGCACATTGACCACGGCACTTGAATTACTCCCAACGCAGAAGAGCATTTGGAAGCTATCCAACTCGGCCACCGCCTGCTTGGATTTTTTTTGGGTTTGAGGAATCCTTTTCCAAGGTTTTCCTTGATTTCCCTTCCCTCCCCCAGCCCAACACACTTCCTCTCCACCGGTGAAGTTAATTCATCTTCCCTTTGGGTCTGATGGGAGAGAGTTGTTAAGTGATATCTCATAAGTTTTCACACTGCTGGAGGGGAATGAGAGCAAGTTAGAGACCCACTGCAGAAGCAGGTTATCTCATCCATCCATGCTGGTCCTTCTCTTCTCCCATCCCCAAAGCAACAGAAATGGGTTGGATGAACATTTTGGGTGGGCAGATTGAAGGCTCAGCTCAGGGCTCCTCCATCCACCTAAGCTGCTGTAGCTCGAGCAAAACCTGAGGTGCCCAAACCAGGAGGAGGACATCCCTGTGCATGCCCTTAGCTCCCAATCTCCTACGAAGAAATGACATTAGGGGTCTCGTATGGGAGGGATTGACCCTATAGGAAGGAAAGAGCAGCTCCCAGGACACCTGCAGTGAGGAGCGGTTTTCTTCTGAGCATTGGTAATTTGTACTTACCCGGGTATCACCACTGGGTTGCTATACACGCTTCATTTTCAGTCCCCAAAAACATGTATAAAGATGACAGGAAAAATTATGAAGGCTAATTGGACAATTTGAAGAAGATGACTGCAGGAGATGAAACCCCACTGTTCAAGCAATTTAAATTTCATTTGGTGTTACAGAGAGATTTTCACCATATGTCTAACTGTTTCATTATTCCCTCCCTTCTAGATGGTTTGAAGGCTTTAACTGGGAAGGGTTACGAAAAGGAACACTGACACCTCCTATAATACCAAGTGTAAGTTTTCCTACTTTTTTTCTCCTTCCCGGCCAATAAGATTCGTTTACGTGAATGTTGTGAGCTTCGGGCACTAATACACTGTAGATAAGTGGCGACAGCGTGTGCTTTATTTCTTCTGAAGATGCTTGAAGAAGTCCCGTTAGAGACATTTCCAGCTATACGTGGTCTCTGGGCAGTCTCTTCCAGGAGAAGGTGGTTTAGGGAGGGCATGACTGCAATGAAATGCCCTTCGCAGCAGGAGATCGGGGCAGGATCACTCACTACTACACATTTTCCTCTTCCTCACCTGCTCCACTTGTTTCTTCATCTACTTTTCACATTTTGCTGGAGAGCTGCCACTTTCACCCCTTCTCTCAGACGTGTCCTCTTTCTTTCTCTCTCTTACTCTTATTTCTTTTGGCAAGGCAAGTGGGATTTGTATGCCATCTCCCTTTTCTTTTGCATTAACCTTTCCTTCTGTCTTTTCTTTTGTGCTTTTCACCCTTTTTTTCCTGCGTCCGTGTCCTACATGAAAAGCCCTGTTACCGCCTGGTTTATGTTTAACTGGGAGCAGACGCGGAGGGACAGCTCGACTCATTTTCCTTTGGAGCAAATCTCTTCCTTTGATGTCTTTGTGCCCGCCGCAAAGGGAAACCAAACAGGATTAGCTGATAGAAATTACCTTGGCCCCTTCTGTTCTGCAGCCTCCCCTCCTTGTTTCAACTTAATCCCTTTCTCTCCGTGCCTCTCCCGCGGGATCACCAAGAGAATGACATTAGCAATCGTGTTTAATTGCACCCCGTTGCTCCGTCCGCCCACGGTCCTGCACCTCCTGCAGCAGCGGCAGGCACGGCTCCGGGGCTAAATCTGCCATCCCAAAGTTTTCTTAGCAGCTATGAAAGCGCAAAAGGGTTTTGCATCCCCCTCTTTTGCCCTATGGGCTGCAGAAGTTACTGGCAATCGGTGGGAGAAAGCAGGGCTTTGCAAATACCTGCCTAAAGCAGGATGCCCAAAGAGCGTAGAAATGTTTTATACATCAAAACTGTGTTTTTTCTGTTAAGCTTCTTTTTAATGAGTATTAATTTGTCAGCAGTACTGTTCAGCACATTTCAAGTCAGACAACAAAGTCAAGTCTGCTCCTTTACATCCAGTTTCAATTCCTGGTTTACCCGTGCAGGATGTCAGTGTAGCCTGAAAATGCCCCAATATGGTTCTCTAATTGGTTTTAGTGGAGTTTTCGTTTGGTAAGAATATTTCCAATACTGCTTTTACCCAATATACGTATGGACCCTGCATGTCTAACCCTCAGACAGCACAACCAGCAGCAGCGACTTCAGCGGTATCTGCTCTCTATGGGCATGAATTGCTCCCTGACGTCCCCAAGCTGGGACGTTGCTCCACCACCAGAAATGGTCTCTGCTCCTTTGGCATTGCCTAGAGGAAGGCTGCTCTCCAGCCTGTTGTGCAGGAAATCATGTTTTCTTTGCTTGTTCAGTTAGGTCCAACGTGGTAGGAGAAAAGGGTTGTGTGAGCACCCAGTTCATTTCGTTGGCATTGTTTCTTGGCATCATCAAGGCTGTATGTTCATGGGTCTGGTGATGTCCTACCAGGGAACGCAGAGAGCGATCTGCTGTCACCCTTTTGGCCAGCACACCACCATCAAGGCTGTCCAAAGTAGACGGGAGCATCCTTTCCTTTTCAGATGCTCTTCAGGAGCATCCTGTCCTCTTCCAGGACAGCTCAGTGCTGACAGCCGTACATTGCCCTAATCCCAATTCAACATAGCTTATTCTTTCCTAGAGCTCTTAGGACTAGTATCTTCTCTAAACATACCCTTGAGATCCTCTCCAAAACCTGCCTCCATTAACTAGTGAACCTCGTCCACCCCAAGGCTGGCTGTCCCGCTCAGCCTTGTTTTCCACAGCCACCTCAGTTGCTTTGGCAAAAGTCCCAACTGCCAGTAAGGGCCGTATCTGAAAAGTGACCTAAAATACATAGCTCTGGGAGAAGAAACCAGGTTTTCCTTCAATCAGTGCACCTCTCCTTGTTAACGGGAAAGGAGCCAGCAGGGCTAACCATAGAGGCTAGCTGTTTTCTTAAGAAAAAAGCCTTCCCCAGCTCTTAAACCCTCAGCAGCAGTTACGTGGCGCTACCGGGGAGGCAATGGAATGCTGCTCCTTAGCTCTTATTCCACAGGATTTTAGGAGATCTCAGTTTACAGCCTGCTCCTAGGACAGGGAGCAGCTGAGCCTCCATACCACCGCTTAAATCTGTGACAGTAGCTGTCCCGAAAAGCTTCTCCTACTTCTTGACTCTTCCAAAGACATGCTGTCTTGCATCGCAGCTCTCGCCTTTGAGAAAGACGTGCAGATCTCTGCACCGTAACTCATCTCAAGCCCTGATGTTGGTAAGCAGCCAGCCAGCTGATGCTGACATTTGCACTTGTATCTTCTTGGGTGGACAGGAGATAAATCCGAGTGTCCCTTCTTGGCTGGAGAGGGCATTGAGAGGGACGTTTGTTCCCATGTCTCTGACAGTGAAGGACTGCAGGCCATGTAGGTGACCTGGACCTCAGAGCTGTGGGGAATGGCACACAACAGCGTTAGCGTCACATAAAGTCAATCAGCAGAGTAACAACTCGTCCAACCTTTCTTCCCCAAATCGTATTTCTTCTAAGGAAAAGAAAACCCTCTACATTTGAGGTCTTGCGTATACTCAGCCTTTTTATTTTGTCAGATGAACACAAAAGGCAATCCATTTCCCAAAGCAGGACTTACTTCCCTTAAAGCCTCATCTAACCAGGGCTCAAAAAACCGTGCCTGCCCTGCTGGGTGCTCCCAGAGCGGACATCTGCAGAGGAGCCCCGGGGAGCTCCATAGGTGCTTTCACCCCATGCAGTCCACTTACACCCCGTCCATCGCTGCTGAGAGGCTTTCGCAAGAAGCTACAGCTCACGCGCGTCCTCCGTGAACGGCCACACCGACTGCATCTCTTACACTTTGGTAGCTGGTATCTTGTACGTACATCCCCAAGACTGCCCAGAGGAAAAGGACCTGGGGGTGCTGGTCGACAGCCGGCTGAACATGAGCCGGCAGCGTGCCCAGGTGGCCAAGAAGGCCAAGGGCATCCTGGCCTGTATCAGCAATAGTGTGGCCAGCAGGAGCAGGGAGGTGATCGTGCCCCTGTACTCGGCCCTGGTGAGGCCGCACCTGGAATACTGTGTTCAGTTTTGGGCCCCTCACTACGAGAAGGACTCTGAGGTGCTGGAGCGTGTCCAGAGAAGGGCAACGAAGCTGGTGAAGGGCCTGGAGCACAAGTCTGAGGAGGAGGGGCTGAGGGAACTGGGGCTGTTTAGCCTGGAGAAGAGGAGGCTGAGGGGAGACCTCATCGCGCTCTACAACTCCCTGAAAGGAGGTTGTAGCGAGGTGGGGGTCGGTCTCTTCTCCCAAGTAACCAGCGATAGGACGAGAGGAAATGGCCTCACGTTGCACCAGGGGAGGTTTAGACTGGACATTAGGAAAAATGTCTTTCCTGAAAGAGTGGTCAGGCCTTGGAAGAGGCTGCCCAGGGAAGTGGTGGAGTCCCCATCCCTGGAAGTATTTAAAAGACGTGTAGATGAGGCGCTTAGGGCCATGGTTTAGTGGGCATGGGGGTGTTGGGTTGACGGTTGGACTCAATGATCTTAGAGGTCTTTCCCAACCTTAATGATTCTATGATTCTATGATTCTGCTCCCAGCGGGAGAGCTCACATGGGGTGGGCTGAGAGAAACAGAGGGCTGTGGTCCAGCCCACGGCCCCATGGAGGAGGGCGAGTGTGGAGCACCCCAAGGGTGAGGACCTGAAGGGTGAAGGCTCTCCAAACTCAGCAGTGCCAGCACCACCAAAGTAAACAGTATTCGGTACACAGTGAAGCATCTCATCACTCTGTAGTACTCCACTAAGCTTTTACAGGTTGGTTTTTTCCAAAGCGAGCTGGGTATTCAAGGATCTTAATTTTCCCCAAGATGTTTTCAGCAGCTTATTAAATTTAGAGCTGAAGTTGGAGCTCTCGTTGATCAAATAGTCTTTTCCCAAGGCTTATAGCAGCATATCCAGCATCAAATACGTCTCCTGGACTGTAGGCTGGGCTCTGGCCGTGGCTTCTCCACCAGCTGCACAAGTGAAATGGCTGAAAAATACAGCAAGGGTTTCCTGCGCAGCGCTCCTGTGTCCCCTCCACCTGCACTGGCTACGTGGGGTACGGCGTAAAGTACCGATTGTCTCTAGTAAGAGACTAATGATTTTGGTCCGGAGAGTTGCTGCTCTGTTTTCGTATTGTTTCATTTTTTTAAGTTGCATTGAATGTATCAGGGTCTCATTGTGAGAAAGTTTCAGTCATCATTGTAAAGCAAAAAAAATTAGAAATTATCTAGCTACGGTAGATTTTAAAGGACATTTCCAAAAAAGAAACGTACTTGGCCTTCATCCTAGGAAGATGGGTTTCTTTGGTAGGCTCCGTAGGCTGAGCAATACTTGTCAGGAACCCCGAAGGCGGCAGGGCGCAGCTCACAGCCTCGAATTCAGGATCCTGGAGCCATAAGTTGGAAATCCTGGGCTTCGGGGAAGCCCAGGGCTTTTCCCAGTCTTTTTTGCCAACCATGGGTAGGACAGTTGCTCTTGAACTAGAGACCCTAGAGGGCCTGGATCAGTAGAGTAGGGGGGCTGTGGGAAGTCCTCCTGGGATTCAGCAAAAAGCTGTGGAATGCAGAACTTCCCTTGCTTGCTGCAGTTCGCAATGAATGCTTTTGAGCGTTCACGGTCGTGAGGTGGAGAGGAAATGTCTGCAGAGGTCCACTTTGATGACCGTCCCCTTCTTCCCACTCTCTTCTTTCCGCAGGTTGCATCTCCAACAGACACAAGCAATTTTGACAGCTTCCCGGAGGACAGTGATGAACCACCCCCTGACGACAACTCAGGATGGGACATAGATTTTTAATGTATTTCTCTTACCTGCTTCTGCCTTGCTGAAGACAGCTTCCTGGGACGTGGCTGCCAGCGAAACCGAAAGAATTGGGGAGGATCAGTGCTCGGGGTCACCATGATGCCTTGATTGATGCTGCTACAGTAACTACAGTGGCATTAGGACTTATTGCTTAGATGACAATAGTGCTCTTCATGTTTTACGTTCGAACTTAAAATAGCAGTTGACATGGTGGTCCTGACGCAAAGCCTTTCACCAGTAAAGAAATATGTTTTCTATCACTGCGACGATCTTGCTACGCTCTTAATTATAAAAGTCGAGAGATACGTAGTGTAAGACGCACTTAATTCTAGCTGCGAGGTACTGGCTTTATCAGTAGGATCAATAGTAATTTATTAAGTGCTGTAGCTAAATACAGTGCAGGATTTGGGCTACTCCCACCCTCCAGACTCTGTAGGTCTTCTACTGTAGGCCAGCGTAGAAGCAAAGGAGGACCACAACGGTACCGGTCAAAGAGTTCACATCAGAGCAGTGGTAAAATTTGTCCTTTTTCTTTCCGAGCGGTATTCTTGACAAGACTGAATGTTAACCTTTCCTCTTTCTTTTTGAGAAATTGGGTTTTTAGCCTGGTAAAACAAAAGCACAACTGCTCTAGCTCCTGTTAAGGCAGATATGGGTTGCTTCTCTCATACAGCTGAGAACATACCGCAACACGACGTTTGGGTTTTTTTTTCCTTTCCCTTGGTACTGCATGAAAAAAAAAATCATAAAATTAATCCATTTTACATATAAAATAGTGCTTAAATAATGGTCCTGTAATAAAGTGACAGCAGCCCACTGGTCTTATTGATTAGCTATTAGGCATAAAACTAAGCTTGATTTTTACCTTTTTAGAACCCAAAGGGAAAACATGAGACCCGTAATGTACTTTATAGGTGCTATGTACATCCTTCATCTGTGAATATAAATTGAGTCAACCACCATTTCAGGAATATGTAGCAAGAGGCATCGTTCTCCATCGCGCCCTTAGATGACTTTACGTCTCCATGTCTGCATCTCTTCCGTGTTTGTAGAGTACAAAGCTAATTAAAATTAAAGGTGGTACAGGGCCAGTTTGCTGGCTCTGTAATATTGCCCGTAAAAATGTAATCCTCATGCCTCGCCAGAATAAGGAGCACCACAGGAAAGTCGGTGGAATTAAATGGAAAACCGATATTGGGTGTGTTTGTGCGAGGTCTCCGTGTCTCCGGTGGACCAGGTCCCCCATGACCGTGTTTAAGGCACGGGGATGGCTACGGCCGAGTCAGCTCGTATGAAAAAAAGAGCTGGGGAAAACAATATTATCGTGTGTATGCTTTTCCCTCACTTCCACTGCTTTTCCTTTGCTTTACTGCAGTCTCTTCTGATTTGTAGGGCGTAACAGAAGAATCGTGTCCTGGGTGCCTGCTTGTTGCGTACTCGTGGGACTAAAAGTTTATCAGCTTTCAATCTCTGTAACGGACCCTGCCCCAAAAAATTAGCAGATGCTGCCCCATTTCATCGCAGAGCTGCCCAGAGCTGTTGTGTACGCTGGAAGTCAAAAGATGAACTTTTGCTCAAAAGTCATTTATATGGCTTTTGCCTACATAGGACATGGAAAATGTTATGTTTTAACAGTAAAAAATTATTTCCCTGATGCTAGATCCCAACTTTTTCCCATGTTCCTAATGAAAGCGACTTAAGAGCATATGAAAAAGATACTTTCTCCCCTTCTTTTGACAGCATCGACAATGTCTGCTGTCTGCCAGCAAACTAAAGAGCTCGGTCGTCGCGACTCCTTCGAAACCGGTCTGTGTCGCCGAATTTGCTCCCTAGTTTTCTGAAGGGTGAGGCGACACCGTCGGCACAGTAACTTCAAGTTATTTCTGCTATCCATTAACCATTAAAACTTGTTTGCCTTGAAAACCATAGGGAAAAGGCAGTAACTACGTCTCCGGGGAATTACTCGTATAGGGCAAATACAGGCTTGCTTTTCAGCCTTTCTCTGCGGGACGGAAGACACTGAAAGCCAATGCTGAATACTAGGGCTAAAATCATCACTAGGCATCTTAGCAAACAGGCTGCTGCCTAAAAGCCGAATTCTTTACTCGCATCCCCCTCGTTTTTCACTTGATGGATGCGGCGGTGTTGGAGGAGAAAACTTGTTGCGTTTGGCAACTTTCTATAGAAGACCGTAGAGAGGAGTTTGTCCCAAAATGATGATACTCAGTAGCCGAGATGCAGTTGTCAGTCAAGGGGTTGCCGGGAGGAAAGAGCATCGCAACAGTTTTGGGTGGCAACCCGACAACATTTATGGGAAGAAGGTTTTAAAATGGGCTGATGAGTTATTTTTCTTTTTCCTGTCCCTTTTTCCTTGTGCCGCGCACGCTAATTAATACCTGCAGAGTGCTGCGGCGTGCACTGTACCGCATATAAGTTTATTTTGGTATCAAACACCTCACTCGACTTTCATCACCTTTCCTAAGCATATTTTAAACAACATACTTAGCATATGTATATGATAATCGCCTTCATTTATAAGTAATATATTTGAGTTGCATTATATATATATATATATTCACAACGGATTGCCTCTGTGTTTCCACTTACTGTCCTTTCTTCTTTGCCTCCTTTTCTAATATATGGGACGACGGCGTGTTTACGCAAGGGGAAATCGGCTCCCGTATTTCAAACGAGTTTATTAAGATTGGTGTCGTTAAGACACAGACGATCCGTAGCTTCTCACAGTGCTGCATTATCCATAGCAAACTCTTATTTAACAACAGGACCACAAGCGAATATTTATGTAAATAGGTATTTTCGTGTTGATATTTTGTGGTACACATATAACTTTTTTCTGTTAGAGTTCCATGGCATTATTACTTCATTTTCTTATTTGTAATGTAATGTTTTTAGATCAAGGTAGACTTGAATTAATGTCATAATTGTCAGTATTATTAAACTTTATGTCAGCTGTACTGTTAACTCATCTGTCCCATAGTTTTAGAACATGACTAGCTATCTGGCATTGTTGCAAGTGCCTTAAATCCATGGCATCCTATAAAAAAAAAATTTACAAATTTGGTGTTATGCTGCATGACAAAGACAAACACACCTCAAAATGTCGTCCTTTCTTAGCTTGCTGCGTTTTACAGTTCTTTCTGCTACCAATTTCTAAGCCTTTATTATATAATATTGATGAATTACAGAAATGATGAAGTCGTTCTCTTATTTCTGTTCAATGTACCAGAGCTGTGTATCTGTTAATGAGATACAGAGTCATTTCTGTGAAATGTATAAATGTTATGTGCGGGTCAAATTAATATATGACATCCTATCAGTCCGTAGACAGGTATTCCTGTTTTGCTAAGCTGTGCAGATTCAACCCATCGTGCCGTCCAGCGCCAACCTCCCGTCTTAACACAAAGCCCGGTAGAAATCTCCCCGCCCGGAAAAAAACGATGAGCGACTCGGTGTGCAACGCGACCTGTGTTTTTTTGACCTGAAACCCCGACGCAAAGGCATAGCTCGTTTGCACCACTCAACAAAACAGGATCCGTGCTTCCCCTCCCCCCCGCCCCCGACTCCTTCGATATGCATCCCACCGCGGAGGCGAGCCCTCGGCGCTCCCGCAGAGCTGAGCTGGAAAGCTGGAAGCTCCTCGTCCTCCGCAGCTCCCCGGCCGCGTAAACCAGGCGTGACGCCGAGACTTGGGCGGTTTTAGGGCTTTATCGGCAAAAGGGGAAATTCTCGTTTGGAGCTGCCTATCGTCCCGAGTCCCAGCTTACGCTGTTTTTACACTGGCCCTTTGTTTTATATTCTTCTTTTCTCCAGTTTTCTTCTTACACAAAAGAGGTTTTGTTTGTTGGAAAAATGTCGGTCATCCACCGGTCGTCGGCCGGTTGCACTCTTTTGATGTAGATTTAAGAACTTTTTTTCATAAACTTTAACCGCTTTTGTTTTGCTCTGTATTTTCCCTGCAGCTGTAATTGCCGAGTGCCTGTTGTATACTTTATAGAGTTGAAATAAAAATAATTACTTTTGAAAGGCTTGTCGATGGCTTTCTTCCACAGCAGAAGCCAAGTTTGGGGGAGTTCTTCTGGTCAGCGATTGAATTGGGGTTTTTATTCTCATTTATGATGATACGCAGTGAGAGATAACCAAGCAAAATGTATGGTACAAAATGTATAGAGATTAGTACCGAGATCCAGATTTTCTGCAGGATGCAAAGGCAAATGGCCACAGTTGCTAGACTTCAGTGCTTATTTGAGCGTCGGCATCACCCCGAGCAGCCCGGCCAAAGGGGTCCGAGGCCGACGGGGGTCCTGCTTCGAGCGGGGTTGGCACCGGGTGTCCCCCACAGCTTGCTTCCAACCCAAATTGTTCTGTGAACGTACTAAGCAATAAGCACATCTGCAGCATGTTTACTCTTCAGGGATGAAGAATCCACTTTATATTTTGATTGCTGCCAATACGAGCGAGTCCAGGGCACGCAGCTGGGAAGGGACCGTATTTCCAACACGAGTTGCGTCATCCCTAGGTGGGACGTGACTGCAAACAACACCCATGTCAAAAAACGATGGTGTTCTTGTCACCGCTGTCCCTTACGGGAAATGCCAAGAGGTGGTGATGGTTAATGGCAGCGCAGCCATGGGATGTTGCGAAGATATCGCCTCTGTACGCGTTCAGGGTGCTGAGACTCCGCCCGTCCCGATGGATTTCAGTCCGTCCCTGGGAAACTGCTCAAACCCCGTGTGACACAACTCTCATCTTTAAATCCCAGCAAGGTCAAGGTTAAGGGTGTACTTCAGTGCTATGTGGACACAGAGACAGGTAAAAACCGGGAAAAGGAGCAAGAAAACATCCTCCCAGGAGGGACATAAATTCAGTAACTGCCTTAGCAGGAACCAGGAAACGTCACAAAATGATTTTGCAGGATGCAGCAATCACAGGTACAAGTTACTAATACAATAAAAAGCCCAGGGTGACGTGGCCCTCACCTGAAACTGCAAGGGGAATAGAGGGATTTCGGGGCAAGGTGTGGCCCTCATTCTTCCAGGCTAAAAATAGCAAGGCCCCGGTTCGCCTGTCCGCGGCG